CCTGCAGCCCAGGCCTGCACCGGGTAGTGTAACATGGGTGCCTCCAGCTCCTCCGCTCTGGCTCGCCTCGGCCTCCCCGGGCAGCCGCGGTCCACCTGGCTCGGCGTCGCCGCGCTGGGACTGGCCGCGGTGGCGCTGGGGACTGTGGCCTGGCGTCGCGTGCGTCCCCGGCGGCGCCGGCGGCTGCAGCAGGTGGGGACGGTGTCGAAAGTCTGGATCTACCCGATCAAGTCCTGCAAGGGGGTGTCGGTGTGCGAGACCGAGTGCACCGCCATGGGGCTGCGCTGCGGCAAAGTGCGGGACAGGTACGAGATGGGCCTGGGCGAGGGAGACGCGGCCTTGCCTGTCCCGGCTTGCAAGTGTGAGACCTCGATCCGGGCGCCCCTCGGTGGGTGCAAACTCTGAAATTCGAGAGAGGGGTTTCGCACTGCAAGCTGCATTCTCCCCAAACCGAGAAAGCAAGGGTTTGTTGCATCTGGGAAACACACGCACACGTGGGAAGGAGCTGTCACCAACTGTAACACCGGGCACGTTTGAGAGCATGTTCAAGTTGAAACCGTAGTTTGTAAGTTCGAAATGTCCGTGGGAAGGCCTTCCGGGAGGAGAATTTTAGCTTTACAGTATGTGAGTTTACTCCAGCGGGGAGCAGAGCGCCTCGCTTATGGCTCCCGCCCCTTCCAGCACAGTTGATGGCTCAGCTATCAAGAGAACCGCTGTTTGCTGCCAGAATTCCCTGGGCTCTCGACTTTTGATCCTTTAGCTGCGAGGCCGGTACTTCTTCTGGCTAAGGTAGTTTTGCAAAAGTGAATTGGGACAATCCTGGACCCTTGGACTAGAGACTCCTCTGTCACATGACCAACCCGGGTGTCTGCGTGGCTTTCCTAATTGTAGGATACTAGAAATGTTTTCAAGAATATTGGGTCCTTCCTTCTCTCTAATTCTGGCTACCACTTTAATGAGTAAGGAGCGGAATTACATGGTTTGCGGGGTGGGGGATGGGGAAGAAGATGGGGGTACTATCAGGGGCAGGGAGCTAGAAAACCGGGGTGTAAAATCATGGTAAAGGGGGTTACAATGAAGAAAAGCAAAGACAGTTTGTCGTGGTGCAGAACAAACATATAGATCAGGAAACAGGATCAGCCAGACTGGGTGAGAGTTCTGCTTGAAGGAGGGCCAGCCTGGGCGTGTGTCAAATCCAACTGTCACTGGGACTAAGGGTGAACCCTCGGACCGCCTAGGTCAAGAGGCAAGACTGAACACGTAGATAATTCTCAAACTTTGAAAGGTATTGTTGGGTTAGGAAAGTTGTTCCCTGGGGCAGATTGGGTGTCACAGGTGTCCTGATGGCAGTGCACCCCACCCACCCACCGCCGGATTGATTTTTATGTTATCAAAGGGAATGCCTGTACACACCTCTTACAGGTGGGTGGTCTTCACCAGGCTGAGCGCACAGATTTCATTCTTATAATTAGGATGTCTTCTTCTATGGTGGACATGGCAGCTGTGCTCCCATATGTGGGCAGAGGAGGGGGTTTGCAAAGTGGTCATTTGAGGGATCCATAGCAGAGGTCATCTGATGCCCAGTGTTCATCCCAGGACACCTGTATGTACTGACGCTTGGAGACCGCGGTCCTAAAGAAATGCCGGCTCCTAGTGCACTGGAAGATGTTATCTGAATGTCTTGCATGCGGGCTTTGCAGCTCATGGGCAGTCCCTCACTCTCATCCTAGGTTTCTAATGCTGAGGAGGTTTTCTTTGTTTTAAATTATCGTCAGTGTGCGACTGGGGGTGTAGTTCAGCCGGTAAGAGAGAGTGCTTTGCCTAGTGTCCAAAGCCCTAGTGGCACATGCCAGTAATCTCCACACAGCAGGATCAGAAGTTCAGGGTCATTCCCAGGTCCACAAAGATCAAAGTCGGCCTGGGCTGTATGAAAACGTATCTGTACGCTGAAAGGAAATAAAATACTATCATTTCCTGAAAGTCCTGTTTCTGTCCAAACGAACTCAAATCACTACGAATGAAGGCAACTTTTGTAGCGCATTGAAGTCTCCCCCCGGGTGGCTCGTCTGCTGTAATCAAAGGGTTTTACAGAGACCACTGTGAAGGGGAGGATGTTGAGAGCGGACTGAAGTTTTCCCAGCCTCCTGCTTGAGGCTGGAAAGACCCTGTGTGCTGGGGACTGGGTATCGTCCCACACAGGGGAGGTGCCGAAGCTCAGAGTGCTGACCCGAGCAGGCAGACACGGGCTGCTTCCCTTCCCGGCTAAGAACTTGAGGGTTCTCACAGGTAACCACTACCAACCTGTGTTTCTTACGGATCGTCAGAGGATGTTGTGTTCATCGTTAAGATTACCATGGCTTTCTGTAAATACTGCTAGTGTGGAGGGGAAATGTACCCTTTGCCCCTCCCTGCTTTTCTGCTTCTTGAGGAGTCAATAACATAAAGAAAACTAACTGTATTGTTTCTCCTGTTTTGAGCAATAAATTCTACTCCCTCCCTACCCCCTCTCCTTCCCTCCTTTCTTTCTTGCTTCTCTCCTTCCCTCAGACCCTCCCTCCCTTCCTCCCTCCCTTCCTTCTTTTTCCAAAGGATCTCACTATGTAGCTGCAACTGGCCTGAACTTGCTGTGTAGACAAGGTTGGCCTTGAACTCACAGGGATACACATGTCACCTGGGATCACAAACCCAGTCTGTTCTGGGGGCTTTGCATTCAGATCTTGGTGACTACAGCACTCACTGTTTCTATGATACTGGTGTGTGATACAGGAATGTAAGAAGTGCTTAGGAGCAGGAGACTGTGAGCAAAGGCTCAACCTCTCCGAGCCTTAGTTTTGTTTGAAAAAAAAAAACTGAACTTCACTTTTATTTATCAAAGGGTGATTGATATTCAGAAGCAAGCTTGCCAGCCTGAATTCAGCTTAATGACTGTTGTTTTCTGCCCACAGTAGCACAGCTACTGGCATTTCTGGAGGGCAGGGAAAGAGCCCCTTGGTTTAATTTGTGTCTGGATTTTCCTCTGTACTGCCCGGTGCTTCCAGCTACTGGAGGTTGTGTGTGTGTGTGTGTGTGTGTGTGTGTGTGTGTGTGTGTGTGTGTGTGTCTGTTTTGCTAGTGTTCTCAGGCATTTGAGCTTGACCTTGTCCCAGCTCCCTGAGCTGTGAGGTGTTCAAGGTCCTCTCAGAAGATGCTAACACAGGCTGTCTGCTTCGGGAGTAGCTTCCCCCCCTTCACCTTGTAAATGTCCTTAAGTGCCAACCATGACTCCATCACCTTCTCTGTCCAGACCCTTCCTTGAAGCCAGCTGTCTATTTCTCCTGCAGGAATTTATCATCGTCTACTGATAAAGGGGGCCCCTCCCCTCCCCCTCCCCCTGTGCTGACTCCCCTTCTCATCTCCCATCTTCCCCTCCCCTCTCCTCCTTCACGCTTCCACCCTCCTCCACCCCAACCCTGATGGCTATTTTTTTATTTTATTTTTTGGTGTTTCGAGACAGGGTTTCTCTGTATTGTTTGGAGCCTGTCCTGGAACTCGCTCTGTAGACCAGGCTGGTCTCGAACTCACAGAGATCTGCCTTCCTCTGCCTCCCGAGTGCTGGGATTAAAGGTGTGTACCATTAACGCCCAGCTGCTGGCTAGTTTTCAACAGAAATGAGATTTTTCATTTGCCCTGGGCTCAGCCTCACTGTCCCATTGATCATTCAAGGCCCCGGTTTTTTCCTGTGAGGATTCTGAGCTCTGGGCTGTGACCATGGTTCATCTGCCACCTGCTTGTGCTCTGCTGTAAAATCAGGGTGCCGACTCTTATTGCAGCTCAAGTTGGGTAACTTGATTATGAAAACCTGCTCTCTGGTCTCATCCTTTCTCTCAGACTTGGCAGAACACAGTGGATCATTTGTTCATGGGGAATTATTTATGTGCACAAGATAAAAAAAAAATACCCTGAAGGGTGACAGGATAACGAGGTGATTGAGGTTTGTTATGTGTGGCAGCTGTCTTAGTTAATTGTTCTTATTGTTGAGACAAAATACTTGACAAGAAGCAAATTAGGAAGGAAGGGTTTGCAGCAGGATGGTCAGACAGCTGGTCAAGTTACATCCAATGTCAGGGAGCAGAGAGATGAAGGACAGTGTTCAGCTAGCTTCGACCTTCCTATTCAGTCTAGAAACGCAGCCCATGGGCTGCTACCATCCACTTAGGGTGAGTCTTTGCACCTCAGTTAATTTAGACATTTCCTCAGGTATGCCCAGAGGCTCTTCAAGATCCGGTCAAGTTGCCAGTCGATATCAACCATTATAGTAGCCTTTTAACTATTTATCAGTTTTTGAGCAGTCCCAAGGTTGGATTCTCTTGCAGTTAGCTGCCTCAGCAATTAGCAGGAAGTCACTGAGCACCCCCTCCCATTTTTAACATCAGCATTGAGTTCCCTAGTCATTACACAGTGATGTGGGCTAAATCGGGGTGGCGGCTTTGAGAGGGCTATTTTGGGTGGATGGGAGTTGAGAAGATTCAGCCTGGAGAAGGACTGATGACCAGAGATGATGTGTCTGGTTGAGTACATACCAAATCTTGTCTGGGGCTGGGGCATGCTGGGAGTTACTTAGTCTGAGAAGTCTAGGAACACACATTGGCACCCAGTGAGGGCTTCTTGCTGCGTCCTAACGTAGCAAAGGGCATTGCGGGAGTGATAGAGGCAGCTCCTTTTGGAGACAGTGACTTTTAAACCAAAAGGGTCTGGGCAGACCTGCACCGTCTGCCATCAGCTGTCACACCAGGATGGGTGGGTGGCTCTGAGGTGAGCGAGAGCTAAAGGAAGCTCTTGAGGCTCGGGGAAGAATTTCTGAGTGCCCGTCTGTCTGTCTCTCTGCAGGTTTTGGATGGTGGTTAAGGAAGATGGACACATGGTCACTGCCCGCCAGGAGCCTCGCCTTGTGCTGGTCTCCATCACCTTGGAGAACAACTATCTGACCCTCGAAGCCCCAGGCATGGACCAGATGGTTTTACCTATCAAGCTGCCTTCATCGAATAAGATCCACGACTGCAGGTGCTCTGCCTGGGGACAGTAGGGAAACTGCAACAGACCTGATTTTTCCTTGTATTTGTTACAGCTTGTGTCAGAACTGTAGAAGATGGCGTTGGTGCAGGAAAATACTGAAGAGGGATTAGTCTATGGGGTGGGGCTTGACTGTGATAACTGTTAAGGGTACCCGGTTCTAGCTTTTATTTATTTGTTTTTTTAATTTTACTTTGGAGAATTTTACTTGGAGAAGGGACAGTTACTCCTATGGCCTCTGGTTTGTTATGTAACCAAGGATGACTTTGAACTTTTGACCATTGTGCCTTTGCCTACTGAATGCTGGAATCACAGCCTATACCACCGTGTTCAGTTTGTGTGGTGCTGGGGATAGGCATTCACTGTACTAACCGAGCTACAGCCTCAGCCTGGGAATTGGTTTTAAGCAGGACGTTAAGAGTTGCAACTGATGAAATAAATGATTGTCACATAGGAAAAGCTATCACTTACATTGAAGGGTTCCTAGAAGTAGGCAGAGCTAACAGAGGGAAGCCTCGGGGATGACCATAGGCAACTTGAGGAAGGAGAAACTGCAGCCTGGAGCCTTTGCTTGGGCCTCTGCAGGAAAGAGAAAAAACAAGGGGTTAGGCAGGGTTCAGGTTAGAATAACCTCAGCAGGGGTCCCAGGGCATAGTGGTCATGTGGCTTATAGCCCTGACACCTGTTCCCTAAAGGAGGGTTTGCAAGTCATGCTTGCACGTGACAAGACGATTGTCTCTGGGAATATGTCTCTAGCTGGCCATAGGAGTAGCTGTCCCTTCTCCAAGGTCTCTGAGACAGCGAAGCAAAAAGCATACTTGCCACAAGTGTAAAGAGGTTTATCTAATAACGTGCACACATGCAGCGATGTGGGTGTAGGGGTCAGAGGACAACTTACAAGAGCCAGTTCTCTCCTTCTACCGTGTGGGTTCTGGGGATCGCATCCAGGTCTTCGGGCCTGCCAGCAGCTACCCTTGCCCACTGAGCCGGCTCGCTGGTCCTTGGAGAGACATCCAGACTTTACCAGTTCATCTCAGGGCTGGATAACAAGCACACGGGAACTTCCCAGCCTCCGAGTGTGCCACTGAGATGGAGGATTTAAAACAGGGGTAGAGGGGGGCGGGCAGGGGCAAGGCCTCAGGCCTTGGCATCTGTTTATGTGTGGGACCTCTCTTGATGACCCATGGCCTGCTGGGTCTTGCCGGAATTTCGTGTGTGTGTGTGTGTGTGTGTGTGTGTGTGTGTGTGTGTGTGTGTGTGTCTGAGAACTAAAGCTGGGAAGGCCTTGCTCTTTGATGTTGGGAAATCACAGAAACTCGGGTGTTTACTGAGGGATGGGGCAATGCTCTGGATCCTTTGGTAACTAGGTGAGTGCCGGGGTTAGAACCAGGGCTCTGTGCGGACTAAGTGAGCTGCTGTGCCATGATACTTCAGCTGGGCTCCAAATGTCTGGGCGTTATCTCCTCCAATGATGAGTTCTCCAGTGCACACCAGCTGGTGCCCCACAATGCATGTTTAACACCATCTGCGTGGAGATAGCCTCAGATCCCACAGAGTAAGTACTGGCCTCTTGAAGCTGCCTCCCACTTCCGACACTAGTAGCCTGAGACAGTAGCTGTGCCAGCTAGAGCTAGTGACTCGCTGGTCGTGGCTGGCCCGAGCCACTTCCGAAGCCTAAGCCTCTGGCCCACCAACTATGACTTGACTCCATGGCCTCCTTCTTGGGGTCAAGTCTTCAGAATGCCTCACGGAATTCAGGAAGCACATTTGCCCGTTACTTGCAGAGGGTACTCTAAGGCTCTAAGGAGGAGGGGGCAGGTGAGGAGGTGGCTGGGGCAAGGTGTGGGGAGTGGAACTCCTGTGTGCTTTCTGGGCGTGCTGCCCTGGAGATACGGTGTTCTGTTCCAGCCAGAGAATGATCTGTGATAGCCAGAATGAGTGAGTTTACTAAAGGTATGTCAAGCCAAAGCGAAAGAATGAATAGCAAGAGGCAGGCAGGTCGCAGGCAGGCAGGCAGCAGCAAAACATCATCAAATCGGGGGCTCCATACATCCAGCAGAAATCAACTCAGGAAGCCACCTTAAGACAGACAGCTGCATTCCCAGTAGAGAGTCCCAGGCAGAGCTGAGCATCTGTCCCCCAGGCGGAGCTTCCAAGTAAAAGATCAAATAGCAGCAGACAGATGTCATCAAATGGGGTCATCCCACATCCAGCAGAGACCTCTAGGGAAGTTGAGCCAGTCACCTGGAGTTCCCAACTGGGCGTTTCCTCTGTGGCTGAACTTTGGCCCTGTCCTTCCCATCACCTGCACTTTAAGAGATTAAACAATAGACAGTTGCTGAAAATGGTTTACCTTAAGGCGTTTTGAGGGCACAGTGTTTTCACCCTCCGGCTGTTTGATCCTCGCTGCCTTAGAGGAAGGGGAGAACTTGTTCCTGGACAGAGGGCCTCTCAGGGTGCTTTGAGACACACATGCTCTGCTCTCAAATGGGCAAGGAGGCCAACCCCTGTAGAGCCAGCTCAAACAACACTGTAGGCTAAGCAGTCTGGGAGCTCACTGAACCCAGCCCTTTGGGCTTTTATTGCATAGGTGTGATTGATAAAAATAATTAGCCGTTGATCAACTCAGTCCTCAGCTTCTGCCCCCTCCTCTGAGGTCAGGGTCGAGGGTAGTGGGGTGTACTAAAGTTCAGACCTCTGATGTTGGAGGGGGGGTTCCCTGGCGATCGGCTCCTGAGGGAGTTGGCTCATTACCACATGGGGCCTGGGCACTGAACTTCAGGCCTGGTGGCAGATGTCTTTAGGGTTTGAATCATCTTGCCAGTCCCATGCTTGTGTTTTAATGGAAGAGGAAGGAAGAGATGACTTTTGGTGTGACAAAAAGCCTTTGAGATCTAGCTGTGAAGACTAGCTAAGCTATAAAAATAAATAAATAAATAAATGAAATTAAAATAAAGATAAAAAGACTAGCTAAGAAACATTTGATTTTACATATATGTATATATAGGCATATTTAAGTTACATACAGAAGTAGCAGTTGCCCATTTTGTTAACCATATCAATTTTTTCCCTAAAAGTGAAAACAAAGAAAAGAAAAAAGGTGGCTTTGGCCTTGGAAAGTCCAACAGAAGTTTTGTTTCTTTGTAACTGAAGAGAAACCAAACCAAAAAAAAAAAAAAAAACTGGGTGAGATAGGAAAATGTCTGTTATTTTTCTGGTGTTATAAGGAGACATAACCAAAGTAACTTATTATAAAAGAAAGCATTTAATTGGGGGATTACAGTTTTAGACAGTCAGTCCATCCTGATGGGAGCACGGCAGAGGGCAGGCGTGGGTGAGTCCATCCTGGCGGGGAGCACGGCAGAGGGCAGGCGTGGGTGAGTCCATCCTGGTGAGGAGCACGGCAGAGGGCAGGCGTGGGTGAGTCCATCCTGGTGAGGAGCACGGCAGAGGGCAGGCGTGGGTGAGTCCATCCTGATGGGGAGCACAGCAGAGGGCAGGCGTGGGTGAGTCCATCCTGATGGGAGCACGGAAGAATGCAGGCGTGGGTGAGTCCATCCTGGCGGGGAGCACGGCAGGGGGCAGGCGTGGGTGAGTCCATCCTGATGGGGAGCACGGCAGAGGGCAGGCGTGGGTGAGTCCATCCTGGCGGGGAGCACGGCAGAGGGCAGGCGTGGTGCTGGAGCCGTAGCTGAGCATTTGCATCCTTCTCAGGAGGTGGGGCATCACTGTAAATGAGAATGATGCAGGCTTTTGAAACCTCAGAGCCCACACCCCCGCAGTGACACACCTTTTCCAACGAGGCCAACCTAATTCTTCCCAAACCGTTCCACCAACTGCAGACCGTGTACTCAAACATAGGAGCCTGTGGATGCTATTCTCATTCAAACCACCAAGGAAGGGCAGGGGCATGCTTTTCATTCCTTACCACAGAGCGAGCCACCCCTGGGTCCTCACTGAGTTTGTTTCTCTCTACCAGCGAACCTCCTCCAGTGGACACCAGCTGGGGCCAACACCGGGGCCCCTACTCCATCCGATAGCACCCCCTCTCGCCGGTTAAGGACTTGGTCGGACTCTTCCTGGCTTCAGACGCCAGTGAGGCAGGCTGACTGTGACTCAGCACCTGCTTCGCTCCTTGGGTCCTGCGCGCCTGCTGGGGTGCCTCTCAGGAGTTGGGGGCCGTGTGTGCCGGGTACTTGTGAAGGGTGTGCTAAAGGCTGAGAGGGTGGGGCAGGTAGGGGACTAAACTCTCACGTGCTTTCTGGGCGTGCCCTCCCTTTACACACCTCTAGGTGTTCAGCAGTGGAGAAACTCTCTGGACATAGTCCTTTGGGCGTTTATGGAAACTTTATTACACAGCGTGCTTGGTAAAATTATCAGCCATTGATTAGCTTTCAGCCTCTGCCCTTCCTTGGAGGTCAGGGACTGTGGTACTAGAGTCCAGCACACTGATCTTGGGGGTTGACTCCCCCGACCTCAGGCAGCTTGGGAGCCGCAGTCATCGCTGACCCCTGTAACACAGAGATTCCCTTCAGCTTCCTACCATCGGCCACTGTGTGGACTGTGGCTTCCACTGTGTGAGTCTCTGACAACCTGAGTGTTCATTCTTTAGCTCATGCTCATAAGAAGCTGTTGAGAGTTTGTCTGTAATATGAACACTACTCTGTGAGTGTTCTTTAAGGTTTATGTTTATTAGTTTTGATGATGATCATGTGTGTGTATCTGAGTGAGTCTGGTGCAGGGGCCCTCAGAGAGCAGAGATTCCCCGTGTGTGCCAGGTTCTCTGGAGCTCTCTGGAGTTTCAGGTCATGGTGAGTCTACTGACAGTCCCCCAGTGTAGAGAGAAGCCTTCCCGCCAGCCTGGTCCCGGAGCCGTATCAGTCCCAAATGAACACACAGGATGCTATATTAGTTATGAAGCTGTTGGCCTTGCTTGTTTCTTACTGGCTAGCTCTGACTTAAGTATTTACTCCATAATTGTTAATCTAAGTATTTCTCTTATCAGAGAAAAGGTCTGGACTTCTTACCCCTAAGGCAGCTACATCGTGACTCCCTGTGTTTCTCCTTTCCAGAGTCCTATTTGATTCCTAGTCCCACCTATCTTGCTTCCCTATTGGCCAACAGTGCTTTATTGACATATATACAGGATTTCCCCATCACCCCAGGAGAGCAGCAAATGCTCTTAGCTGCCGAGTCATCTCCAGCCCCCTCATGTGTGTCTTCTGAGAGCACATGTGCCAAGTGGGGAGGTCAGAAGACAACCAGGGTGAGGTCAGTTCTCTTCTTCTACCATGTGGGATCCCAGGGATTGAACTCAGGCTGTGAAACTTGGCAGTAAACCCCTTTACCTGCTGAGCCATCCTGCCAGCCCCAAGGTATGGATTTTAAGTATAGGCTACCTGGATCAATAGATGCACAGCATTTATTTTTATTTACTTGATTATTTAGAGACAGAGTCTTGCTGTGTAGCTCAGACTGGCCTAGGATTCTCTATGTAGCTCAGGCCGGCCCAAACTGTTAGATCTCTTGGCCCGACTCCCCAGTGCTTAGATTATAGGTACATACAAATCAAGGGGCACTAGACATGCCCAACTGTTTTCTGAGTGAGCTGGCTTGTCTGCCCTCAGAGTGGGGCCCACTGAAGTTTGGGGTTAGTTTTTTCCCAGCAGGCACAGGCCTGGTAGAGGAATACCTGCTATCAGTTGGAAGGACACTGGCTGATCAGTATTCTCTTGTCCTGTTGGGTAATTTCTACTTTCCCAAGAGCCAGTGCCAGTCTCCTGCGTGGGATGGATGGTGTGGGGTAGAGGTGTGTGCAGTTGCATACGGGTGGTGTTCTGAAGGAGATACAGGACACTTGTGGAGCTGCTCAACAGTGGGTAGGATCTGTTCTGAGTAGTGGAGGGGTGGATTACAGTTTCAGGAGAAGGGCTGAAGTCAGTCAAGGACCAAGAGGGACCCATAGATCCAAACAGTGCTCCAAGAAGGGTTTCAGATAGAGGGAAGGGGCCCTAGAAGGGGCTTTAACAGAGGAGTGTCAAGATTTGACAATACGGGGTGTGGTGGTAATGCTTGTAATCCCAGCTCTGGGAGATGGAGGATTTTGAGCCTTCAAGGGCTCAGAGGTTCCAACTGTTAATGAGTATTCTGGGTGTTAATGCTGAGCTCGTTTGCACACATCACCTCAGGCATCCATTCTCACACTGGTACAGGCACAGCATTCACACAGGCTGTGTGTGTGTACTGCTCATGGTGTGTCTCTGTGTGTGTGTGTGTGTGCACTTCTCATGGTGTGGGAGGGCCCGGGAAACTTTCAAGAGATCAATTTCCAGATCCTCAAATCCATAGCTTGCACCAGAGCACCCCGCCCCACTTAGTCAGGGTTTCTGTTGCTCTGAAGAGACACCACGTCCAGTCCACAGCAACATTTAACTGGGGGGTGGGGGTGGCTCACAGTTTCAGAGGCTCAGTCTGTTACCATCATGGTGGGGAGCGTGGCAGTGTGCAGGCAGACATGGCGCTGGCTACATCTTGACCAGAAGGCAACAGGAAGTGTCTGACGGTCACGCCAAGCGAAGCTCCTGCAAAAGAGACCTCAGAGCCTGCCCCCACAGGGACACACTTCTTCCAACAAGGCCACACCTCTTAATATTGCCACTCCCTTTGTGGGCCATTTTCTTTAAAATCGTTCCGCCCCCACTGTCATTCTGGGAGTGGAACCCACGTCCTTGTGCACGCTAAGTAAGTGCTCTACCACTGGGCTAGCCAGGCCTCATTTCTTTTTTCTTTAAAAATGAAACTTTGTCGTGTTTCCTTTTTGGCAGCACCTATACTGAAATTGGAATGATACAGAGTCAACTAGCCTGGCCCCGTGCAAGGATGACACGCACATCTGCTAAATGTTCCACATCTTTGTCAAATACATATAAACAAATAGTTGTTACATTTTAAAGAGTAGCTGGGTGGCACAGGCCTTTAATTTCAGCACTCAAGTGGGAAAGGCGAGTGGAGCTCTGTGAGTTTGAGACCACCCACGTCTACACAGCACTTTCATGGTCAGCCAAGGCTACACAGTGACACCTTATCTCAATCCCCTCTCTCAAATTATCAGTGAATAGGGTTTTGCTATGTGGTTCAGGCTGTCCTTGAACTCAGTACCCTACCCCAGCCTTTGGAGTTCTGGAGTTTGAGGTATACACAGTCATTCCCAGCCCCTTGTTCTCAGGGCTATTAACGGAAGGCAATGTGCGTGGTGATTCACAGGGAGGCGGAGGCAGGACTGCTGTGAGTTTGGAGCCAAGCTGGGCAGCGCTGTGAAACCCTAACCTCTTTACCACACCGTGAGGCCTTGCTGGGGGGGGGTGGGGGGGGGAGACACTAAACCTTGTCTAGAATTAACTATGATTTATGCATATCCTTAGGGTTCATTAATAAATTAATTTCAACTAAAATCTGGTCTTTATGCTTAGAGATCATCAGAATTTACAATGTACCCATTTTATTATGATTAATTACTTTACAAATCAAAATTGTAAAGATAATTTAGTCTCTCCCAAATTCTTTCACATATAGATACTCAGAAACGAAATTTTATTGGTTCAGAGGAAATATTTAGGAGATCAATAGTCATATGTCAGTATGAAATTCTGCGAGAGAAGTGGAGAGTGTTCAAGAATAAAGAGGTGAACCATCCAAAACTTTGGACCATTTATCTGAAGTTATTACCTTCCGTGCAATTGCATGTCTGCTGACAATGGTTACCCCTTTGTACCAGGAAAAGGCTCAAAGGTTGTCTGGGATATTAGGAGCCAGAAGGAGAGTATTTTTCCTTTCAACAACCTTGGGTGGCATGGTGGAACAGCTCTGTGTGAGGCAGGAGGTTCAAGGGTAGCCTCTCCTATGTAGCAAGTTCAAGGCCAGCTTGGGTTACCAGTGACCATGTTTCAAAACAGCAACAGTAACAACACTAGTTGGCCTATTTAGAGAAAATCTTACTTGTGTATTTTAAAAATGGATGTTGGTAGATATCAAACTGATAGCATTTAGCACTCACTGGAGAAAAATCAAGTACTGTCTCATTTTAGATGTCAGTGTTGTATAATGCAAGGAAATTACGTGTTAAAGTTAGATTGAAATTTCTACACATCAATCTATAAGCTCTGTGCAGGACACACAGTTTTAATAACTAATGTAGAGAAGTCAATTTAAACCAAACCAGGAGCACAGCAGAGATCACAGTGTGGGCTGACATCCGTGCCCCATGCCCCCGGCTGTGCAGGTGTGATGTGTTTATCTCCAGTTTATAGCTGGGGGGGGCAGAAGCATTAAGTTTGCTTAAGGCCAACAGACCAAGGGGATGACGGTTTCCAATAAGAATTCCCAGTCAAAGGTGCAGCTGCCTCAGGTAGGCCCACCCCTCCTTCTGAAAGAAACCTGAATCCTGGTATTCCTAATGGAGCAGGGACCTGGCCACTTAGACGGCTGGAAGCCTATCAGAAGTGCAGCGTTCCAGATTCCAGCACCAACCCTCCGGCCCAGAGTCTGCATCTGAACAAGAGTCTGGGTGATTCACAGACACAGAGCCGGGGAGGTCTTCCCCAGAGCAGGTCCCGGACGTGGGCACTCTCCTGGCTCCTCTCTGAAGACCTCTTGGTGTTGTCACTCAGTGTGTAATCTGGTGTTCCAACTCTTCCAGGCTGTTCGGTCTCGACATTAAAGGCAGAGATTGTGGCGACGAGGTAGCTCAGTGGTTCACCAACTACTTGAAGACGCAGCCCTACAGGTTGGTTCAGTTTGATACCAGCATGAAAGGAAGGACAACAAAGAAGCTTTACCCTTCTGAAGGTTACCTTCAGAATTACGAGGTGAGCACACGGTCTTCCTCCATTCTGCCAACTCACTCTGGGCCCTCGGAGCTTCCTTCTCTGTCCGTAGAGCCCCTTGGGAGGCTTCAGTTAGGAAACCTCGACTCTGCTTCAGGAGGGTGGTCCAGGGTGCACCCTACACTCTAAGGATGGAGAGGGACCTGACCCAGGGTGCAACCTCCATACTAAGGATGGAGAGGGACCTGAGGTGAGGGCTGTCTCCATGCTGCACTTCTGGGGTGCATAGAGGGTTAGGTGGGGGAGATATGTGGAGGGAGATGTTGGGACTAAATGTGCCTTGCGTGATGCAATCTCTCTCCAGGCCACCACCACTGCCCGAGTGTGTGACGGCTGTGCCACAGGCCAGGAAGGCAGTTCCTGCCAGGGAAAGCTAGCATGAGCCACGGTTTAGGATGCATTCCCCTTCAAAGCCAGGGTTATTTATTATTATTAATGTTACTAGTGATACTATTATTTATTTGCTTTGTTGCTAACGTTCCTCACCTAAAACACTGTCAGGCATCTACCGGTGATCAGTAGGTTTTGAGCGAATGGTTGGTATTGAGCGAAAAGCAACCCGCTGGTGTAGTGGAGGTGCACACCTTTAATCCAGCCATTCCTGCCGTAGAGGCAGGTGGTTCTGTGAGTTCAAGCACAGCCTGGCCTACCTAATAAACTCCAGGACATCCAGGGCTGCCTAGTCCCGTTCTCAAAGAAATACATAAATAATTATTAAAATAGCAAGAGCCAGCCCAAGCTGCCGCCTTGTCTGGTGTGTGGACAGAAGCCAGGTTTCGGTGCTGGCATCCTGTCGGCCCCCTCCCCTTCCCCTCTCCTGGATATAGCTCTCTCCCCTGCTGCGCTTGAGAGGCTTTGTGTGTGGACCCTGCTGAACTTTGGGCGGGGAGGCCTGAGCTGACTGTGCTGTGTCCTGTGACAGGTAGCCTACCCAGACTGCAGCCCTATCCACTTGATTTCCGAAGCCTCCTTAGCCGACCTCAACACCCGGCTGAAGAAGAAAGTGAAGATGGAGTACTTCAGGCCCAACATCATGGTGTCAGGCTGCGAGGCTTTTGAGGAGGTAAGGGGCCACTGACGCAGACGTCGAACTCGCGTGTGCTGTCCCCAGAGCTGGTGACTATGAAGTTCCTGCAGTAGTGACCCAGATTCCCCAAGGCTTGGTGGTGGGGCGACTCCTTCCCCCAGATTGTCTGTGGTCTCTATGGCTGCTAATGGTCTCCTGGCCTCTAGGGGGCGCTGTTCACATTCTCATGCTTAGGCTCCAGAGCTCACCAAACTCCAGCTTGCAGCCAAGACTGCACTATCTGCCTGTAGCCTGGGCATAGGAAAGGAAAGGAGGACAAAGAGGAAAGCACCCCCACCACCACCCAGGAGCATGTGCAAAGATTTCAGTTCCAGGTTCCCACGTAGAGGCTATGAAGGAGCCGTGTCCTTGGACAGTGCCCTTGCTGTGGTCTCCTGAGTGACCAACAGGAAGAAATCCCACCCCCTCCGTTCACTGCAGCCTTAAAGGGACACTTACATTAGACGCTGGTGAACACAGCCCCCTCACCGTTAGGAGCTGCTTGGTCCTGATGAGAAGCTTCGCAGGTGTTCTGAGCACGGGGAGGAGTGGGCTAAGCTTTCCGAGTACCGGAAGTAACAAGGACAAGTATGGTTAAATGGGTGCGGGGTCCTGAACGGATTGATGACTTTATATTAGGCCCTCCCTCAACCCTGTGAAGTCTGCAGCATTGATTAGGAAGTTTCCCCAAATGCCCAGCGGATGAGGACACCAGCCTCTGTGGAACTGGGGTGCAGATGCCAGTGTGGAAACCCGGGCAGTTAGCGCCCAGAGAAGCTCTGGAACATCGCAGCTCCTTTGCTCCTGTGGGTGGCTGTGCTCCCCTCTGTGGAGCGGAATGTGCTATTGTTGGCCTCCGGGATTCTTCAGGGTAAATCTTTGCCTCTCCAACAGTTTGACAGTTTTAAAACAGTAACACATGTAGAAGATGCCTATTGGCTGGTGCTGTCCTGCTGTCTTAGCTACTTTCTTGCCACTGTGATAAGATGTCCCTTAAAGGAGGAGGGGTTTATTTTGGCACACAGTTCTGGAGGGAGAGAGCTCACCGTGGCTGAGATGGTGTGGTGGCAGGAGCAGGAAGTGGCTGTTCACATCACAGCTGCACTCAGGAAGCAGAGAGTGGATTGGAAGTGGGACCAGGCCCTAGTGACCCACCTCCTCCGCAATGAGCCACCTCCTCTGCAATGAGCCACCTCCTCAGCGATGAGCTACCTCCTACAGCTCCCCCAGCCACAAGCAGTGCCTCCAGGAGTGGACCAAGTGTTCATCCCCCTGTGTGCCTTTGGTATGAGCAGTTTGGATTCAAATCATACCAACTGTCTATACAGTTTGCTGTTAAATTCCTTTAACTCCTCATATTTTTTGGAGGGGGAGGGGGATTTCAAGATAGGGTTTCACTGTGTAGCTTTGGAGGCTGTCCTGGAGCTCCCTCTGTAGACCAGGCTGGCCTTGAACTCTCAGAGACCCACCTGCCTCTGCCTCCTGAGTGCTGGGACTAAAGGCGTGCGCCACCACCTGGTGCTTCTCATATTTGTTAAATTTAAAAACGTGGTCATCTGTTAAGGGTGAGGCACTGTGGCTCAGATCCCTGTTACAGAGATGAAAAGATAGGATTCTGAGTATGAGATGTAGTCTAGGCTAGCCTTGAACCCACTCTGTAGTCCATGCTGGCCTTGAACCCACTCTATAGTCCATGCTGGCCTTGAACCCACTCTATAGTCCATGCTGGCCTTGAACCACACTGTAGTCCAGACTGGCCTTGAACCACACTGTAGTCCAGCCTGGCCTTAAACCCACTCTATAGTCCATGCTGGCCTTGAACCTACTCTATAGTCCAGACTGGCCTTGAACCACACTGTAGTCCAGGCTGGCCTTAAACCCACTCTATAGTCCATGCTGGCCTTGAACCTACTCTATAGTCCAGACTGGCCTTGAACCACACTGTAGTCCATGCTGGCCTTGAACCCACTCTATAGTCCATGCTGGCCTTAAACCCACTCTATAGTCCATGCTGGCCTTGAATCCACTCTGTAGCCCACGATGGCCTGCAGGCCAAAAGAGGGCCACAGGTCTCATTATAGATGGTTGTGAGCCACCATGTGGTTGCTGGGACTTGAACTCAGGACCTCTTGAAGAACAGTCAATGCTCTTCACCACTAAACCTCTCTCCAGCTCCTTATTTTTAGGGTTTTGTTTAGGGAATTTATGCTCCCAAATGCATGTTATATTTTTGAATTATGATGGGCTTCCAGAAATAGTAAATAAGATGTTCTTATTTTTCTAGAAATTTCTGTAGCCATGCATATTCTTACCAAACTACTTACTGTGAAGCGATGCTACTGTTGCTGATTTATCCACCTTAAGCGAGGAAGCCCAGCAGGGAAGGACTCGATACACTGACCCGTCTATCTCCTGCATCATAACCCTTTCAAATATGAATGCAGAGTTGTTAAGCACATACATGTTGAATCCTCATCTAATGAAAAAAGCACAGCAAACCTTAGCACGATGCAAAAGTCCAGGCCGTTGTTTACTGTAGATGTGGGGCGTCAGGAGAATGCACTGTGGAGTACCATGGACTTCTCCCTGGGGGACTGAGAGGCTGCCGCTGATTTTTAAAAGGTGTGGGGTGGGGTGGGGTGGTGCCTTTGATTTCTGGAACACAGGGATGAGGTTTAAAAACGGTGTCGGCATCTGCTGCTTATCTCTGTCGCTGGCCACCGCGGGGCTCAGTGTTCCCTGGACTTTGCTCACTGTCCTGAGTTGAACTTGAAATGTTTGAAAGGGGCACCTTCCTTATGTAAGTCTTCACTCTACACTTTGGAAGAGCTGGGGGAGAAAACTTCAGGAAAAGCACAGTGTGTTCTCGGTCACGTGGGAAGGGCTGTTTCTACAAACTTTTGGAGAGGGAGTTATTAATGTTTGTTTGTTGGGCCTCAAACTCCCCGTGTAGCTGAGGAGAGCCTTGAACTTATTGCCTGGTTCTGGATTCCAGGCATGCGGTTTTTGAGGTGCTGGCAGTCAAACCCTGGATGCACGCATACCGGGCAACTACTTTACCAACTGAGGTACATCCTTAGTGCCCAGTCTCACTTGATCCAAGCAGCCAGGCGGGGTTAGCCCTGGTGTGCACCTGGATGGGGAGGTTCCAAAAGCCAGACAGTTGTGGTGTGAATCCCAGTCCCAACACTCACTGCTGGCCTGGCCTTGACCTTACCTGTCCTGCCCATTCCAGCAGGTGAAAGGCCACATTTCGGCAAATCCTCACTTCTAGACCTTTATCTCTGATGGCCTAAGTTAGGACAACATCTGTATTTTTCCACTTGGCTTCAAGTTTCTTTTTCTATAAAATCTGTATGATTTATCTTTATTTTATATGTATGGGTGTTTTACTTGTATGTATGTATGTATGTATGTATGTATGTATGTATGTATGTGCATCAAAGGCATGCAATGTTCATGGCAGTCAGAAAGAGGTGTCAGAGACCCTGGAACTGGAGTTACAGATGGTTGTGAGCCACCATGTGGGTTCTGGGAATCGAACCCAGTTCCTCTGCAAGAGCAGCTGAGTCATCTTCCCACACCTGTTTTGTTTTTTGAGACAAGGTCTCGTCTCGGCTGACATCAGCTCTTTGTGGTTGAGGGTGACCATAAACATCTGTCCTTTGCTTCTCTACCTCCCAAGTCCTAGGGTCACAGGCGTGTGCCCCCATTCCTGGCTTTGCATGTCGGTATAGGTACAGATTAGACCTTTGGTCCACAGTGGATCGCTATAGCACGCGTGGTAGTGGCCGTGTAAGGTTGTGATGGAGCCGCACGTTTCTTATTCCTGGTGGCATCGCAGTATCATAATGTAGGATGAAGCTACTCACCTGCTTGTAAGCAAACCCACCGTGCCGCCATTTGTAGCAGGGAAATTATGTGTAGTTTGTAGGACAATGATAGTAACCAGTCATTACTGGCTCGTGTCTTTATTATGTTTTAACTTTATTGTTACTGTGGAGTATGTTCCCTCTACTTATCAAAAGGCAGCTCACTGTGAATAGGGTGTCATCATACAGGAGAGGCACCCTATCTCAGATAGCATCCCTTTCTCCCGTGCGTAATTCGGTTTCATGTTATTTTGTTCAGCACGGCTACCGTATTCAAGGTCTGGAGAGATGACTCAACAGTTAAGAGCACTGGTTGCTTTTTGCAGAGGACTGAGGTTCGATTCCCAGCACCCGTATGGTGGCTCACAACCATCTGCGACTCCAGACCCTGGAGTTGCTCTCTTTGGGCTTCCTCGGGCACTGCATACACGTGGTGCAGAGACACGCACGCAAAATGCCCCACCCAGCAAAATAAATAAGTAAATCAATCAATCAATCAATAAGCAAGTGAGATTCTCGGTGCTAAGTCCATTACACAGAGTATTTTCCCCCTCTCTCCTTAGCTATTTGTATTCCTTTTCCTCACATTTCTTCCAACTCACAAATCCCTCCCCACCCTGACTAGACATCCTAGGGACCTGATTTTGTCAGAGTGCAGATGTGCTTCTCAACCGGCAGGGGGCAGACTAAGCTCATCCAGTGACTCACTGGACTCTTGCTGGATAGTGTATTTCTTTGCAGTGTGTATGTCTAGTGAATATTAAATGTATCCATTATGAATTTAATTTTTCCGTTATTTAGAAATGTATTGTTTCCTTTAGGAACTGAATTAGCCATTGCGTGTAAATTTAAGCTTAGTCCTTTTCAAAGCAACTAGTGCTTTCGAACCGAAATGTGCGCAAAGATCAGATGAGGGTGAGTGACTTTATTAACACGAATCGATTAACAGTGTCAAGACACAGAGTTAGCATTTGGAGGCATTAACGACAATGCTTAGGAAGCCAGACAAATTGGTAATTGCCTGGCAGTTGAATTTTGGAACAGAAGATGACTTAAATCTGCCTTGTTGGGCTAAGACCCTAATTGAACTTTTCGGGGTTTGTGGTTTTCTGTTAAGGCCATGATGCAGAAATTCACAGACAAGTAGCTTGGAATGTTGAACTCCTTGTCACTTGGAACAGGGAATTGAATACAGGAAGATGGTTGGAGAGGTCTTGGAGCCCTCAGGCTGCTGGTGGCTCACATGCTTGTGGCTGCAGTGCCCTCTTGTGGTGAAAGGAGACCTGAGCCCTTGGCTGCAGGCAGTCCCGGGCCCTTTTCCCTTCCCCGGGGAAGGCGTTGTACGGGCAGGTTTGCCCCTTGCTTCCCTTGCAGTTCCAATGTTTGAACAGCGTCTGTCTGTTTGTCACACGGTGTGACCTTTGCTTTTAAAAAGCTTGCATAGCTCCTCGGCCAACTGACTGCTTGGAACATGGAGTTTATTCTCACCGTGAACAGTTTCCTGGTGGCTGATGGGACGCAGGGCATCTGTGGAGGCCTCCATACTGTAACTGTGGTCATACTGGTCTGAGTCTGAAGACCTAGTTGCTACTAGGACACCAGTTTGCTATACTAAATCATTCCTGTAGGCCCAAGAGAGGAGCTAGTTTGCCTCCAGATGTGGAGTGGATCATGATGCCATAGCCAGTTGCAGAAGGAGAGACTAGACAGTGTTCGTCCCTGTCCTTGCTTTGCCTTCTGCAGAAACTTGGGTCCCTCTCAGGCCCCAAGAGAGTCAAAGCCACCAGCTAAGCGGGGATGGACTCTTTTCCTGGCTTCTCTGCACGCTAGTTAGACGTGGGATCTTCAGAAGCCTCACCCGGTAGAGGTCAATTTCCAAGGAGCGGTCTTTGCATCTGAGTATAGACCAGTGGTTCTCAACCTGTGGGCCTTGGCCCCTTTGGGGGTCGCATATCAGATATCCTGTATGTTAGATATTTACATTATGATCCATAACTAGCAAAATTACAGTTAGGAAGTTGCGATGAAATAATTGTATGGTTGGGGGTCACCGCAACATGAGGAACTCTATGAAAGGATCGCAGAATTAGGAAGGTTGAGATTCACTGTTGGAGATGCTGTTGGTGGTTTACAGGGTGTGTATTAAGGCCCCATCCTCAAACGTCCTATTTCTCCCAGAGACCTAGAAAGGATTGTACTGTTAAACTTAGTTGTCAGTGGGTCTCAACAGGACAGGCACAAACCTCCAAGATAAGGAACCCAGATTATATTCTTTCCGAGACAGGGACTTGTGTAGCCTGGGCCTGCAGCTCACTGTGTAGTCAAGAATGACTTGAGTCACAGAATTCCCAATTCTTGTGCTGTTATCTCCCGAGGACTAGGGTGACAGGCATGGGGCATCATGCTAGGTTCCCAAGTTACTTTTTATTAGGAAAGAGACCATAACCTTTATGTAGATCTCTATAAGCATGTGAATGTATGATATTAACTATGTAGGTGTGGTATTCAAGGTACTGTAAATGGGCTACCCCAAAACACCATACTCTGGCGTATTGGTTCTTTTGATTTGAAGATACTTGGAAGGCAAATGCAGGGGGCTGTACTGATATTTGAGTCTGTTTCTCATGTAGCCTGGGCTAGTTGTCCTTACCAGAGATGGAAAGCTGGGGCTGTGGGATCAGCACAAACACACAGCGGGAAGCTGACCTTTCTGGACTTGGTCCTCTGTTCTCCGTCTTGACACTCTCAGAACCTGCTGCTCTTTGTCCCATGCAGTGTGTTAGAATTCAACTCCAGCTGTGTCTCTGAGTCTACTCCATTATGAAGGCATGGGTCATATGAAACTTATATTATTATATGTATGTGTGTGTATATACATATATATGCTTTTCCCTTTATTCCTGTTTCATGTCAACTTAATTATCAGACTTAACCGAAAAGTTCCAAGAGGATAAGAGGTATTTTGCCTCCTATAGGATGTGGTCCTCTTGATCTGTGTGTATGTGGGTGTATGTATAGCCAGTCCTTCGTAGATTATCCTAACTGCAGATAAAACATAATTTAGTGTCTGGAGAGAGAAGCTCATGGTTCAAAGTGTGTGTTGTGCAGCCATAAGGAACTGGCATCCGCGTAGTCAGCATTTCACCAACACCTGTAACTCCAGCTCCGAGGGACACAAAGCCCTCTCCTGGCCTCTGCACACAAACAGGTGAAGTTCCCCCACCCCCAACACGCATACACTCATACACACACATGTAAACAAGTACATCTTTGTTTAAAAAGGAATGTTTTAAAATACCGGGGGAAGTATCAGCACTGAACTGTACATTTTTTGGACATTATTTCCCAAGTGAAACAATGTACCTCTTACTTTTATCATTGACATTCCATTTGGTATTGTAAGTGAACTAGAGGTGATTTAAAGTAGGAATGTATGCATAGATTAAGAGTCAGTACCAAGCCATTTCACTTGAGATTTGGAATTCTGAAGGGGGTGCCAGAACCAGTCTCCTTGTGGACACCAAAAGGATACCGAAATGTGTAAAAGTGACTGTGTCCGTAAACTGTATACAATGTTATGACACAGTGTGTTTTATGTGTGCACATGTATGTTTGCTTATGTTTTGTGTGTGGGTCTGGGCATGTGTTTCTTTTTTAAAAGTTACTTTTACTTTTTTGTATGTGTGTGATCCTGTGTGAGTATATGGGCACCATGTGTATGTAGTACCTGTGGAGGCCAGAAGAGGGTATCAGATCCCCTGAAACTGGATTTGTGAGCTGTCATGTGGATGCTGGGACGTGAACCCAGGTCCTCTGCAAAAGCAGCAATTGCTCTTAACCACTGAGCCGTCCCTCCAGCCCCAGTGCATGTGTTCCTGTGTACATATGTGTATAGTGTTTGCATATATGTGCATTTAAGTGTGTGTGTATCTGTATTTGTGTATATGTGTTTGTATGTATATGTGCGAATGGACATGTAAGTGTGCATGTGAATATGTCCGTATAAACATATGTTTGTGAATTTGTGTATATGTGTGTTGGTGTATATAGGTATATATATATATGTGTGTGTGTGTGTGCGTGAGGTATATGTGTGTGTGTGTGTGTTTGTATACATAGCTGTGTGTTTGTGTGTATATGTCACATATGTGGGTGGGTAAAAAGTGTTGGGGGATTATGATCCTTGCCTCCACAGTAAAAGATGTTCAAACCCAGCTGTCCTGCCTCCTGGTGTGACTTAACGTTTTACAGTCTTCTGCATGTCTGTCTCTTGGGGAAAATGGGAATCATAAGCACCTCCCTTCAAGTCATGAGGACCAATTAATGACTAGTGTTCAGGGGCGGGAAGGCCAGGTAGTCAGTGACCGTGGAATGTCCTGTTTTCACACTGGATGCTGTGGGAATGTCAAGGGTGGGAATCATGGTTGGCCACACTCAGGTAATGCCTCACTCAGCAAGGAGCCCTCAGACTTGAAGTGGCCTCTGCGGCATCTTAACCAGCGGCTCTCAACCCTCCTCAGGCTGTGACCCTTTAACGCAGCTCCTCATGTCGCGCTGACCGCAACCGTAAAATTGCCTCCTTGCTGCTTCGTAACTGCAATTTTACTACTGTTATGAATTGTAATATAAATGTTTTGGGAGACAGAGGTTTGCCAAGGGGGTTGCGACCCACAGGTTGAGAACCCCTGAGGTACACCGTATGAGAGAACAGGTTTGTTTCAGAAGCTGTGGTTTTCTCATTGTGTGTCTGACGAGTCTGCCATGGACTTCATGCTTTGAAGGCCTGCTCTTGCTGATTTGGTGGGGTCGGTGATTGAGATCGGGAATCCAGAGGGAGATGCCTGGGCCGGGAGGCAGCGCAGTGGTCGAACTCTGGCTTCCGGTGCACAGGCTCAGTGCTGTAGAAGATTCTCTGTAAAAGGTGAACCCTGTGTCGTGGGCTTCACCATGCACCGCCTCTCGATGCTTCCCAGAGTTCTTTGTGTCCCCGTCTCCCTCCTTCCGCTGATACCGTTCCTCCTGCCTGACCAAGAGGAAGGAAGCCGGACTCTAAAGACGCTCTCCCTTTTCTCCTAGGATACCTGGGATGAACTCCTAATTGGTGATGTGGAGATGAAGAAGGTCTTGAGCTGCCCCAGGTAAAGACTGGGCTTAGGCGTGGCCGCTGGGCGTTTGGCCTGTAGCCGTGGTCTAACCGTGAGTCTTTCTTTGACAGGTGCATTTTGACCACAGTGGACCCAGACACTGGAATCATAGACAGGAAGGAGCCGCTGGAAACCCTGAAGAGGTAAGACGCCAGTGTGTACCCTGTGCCCAGGACCAGCCCCAGGTGCTCAGGTCCTGACTCCCAGGTGGCCTTTGATATGTATCAGTCTTGTGAGTTTCTTCCTCTTTTTAGATCTTTAGTTTTCTGACACATTTTTAGTTGTGCAATATTCTGTTTTGAAGCTTTAGTCTCTCATTAAGTGCTTGTGTGTGTGTGTGTGTGTGTGTGTGTGTTGTGTGTGTGTGTGTCTATGTATGAATAGAGGCCAGATGATTTCCTCAGTGACTTTTGGCTCTTTTTGGTTTGTTTTATAGTAGATTTCTTTTTTTTTTTTTTTTTTTTTTAGTTTTTCGAGACAGGGTTTCTCTGTATTGTTTTGGAGGCTGTCCTGGAACTCGCTCTGTAGACCAGGCTGGCCTAGAACTCACAGAGATCCGCCTGCCTCTGCCTCCCGAGTGCTGGGATTAAAGGCATGCACCACCAACGCCCGGCTTTATAGTAGATTTCTTTTCTCGTTTTAAAAAGTTAGTTATTTTTATTTTACTTTATGTGCTTTGGTGTTTTGCCTGCATCTGTGTCTCTATGAGGTTGTTGGATCCCCAGGAGCTGGAGTTACAGACAGTTGTGTGCTACTATGTGGATGCTGGGAATTGAACTCGGATCCTCTGGAAAAGCAACCCATGCTCTTAACCATTGAGCCATCTCTCCAGCCCCTAGATTATTTATTTATTTCATTTGGATTGTGTTTTGCCTGCGTGTCTGTCTGTGTCAGGGTGTCGGATCTTGGAGTTACAGACAATTGTGAGGTGCCATGTGAATGCTGGGAATTGAACCAGGGTCCTCTGGAAGAGCAATCAGTGCTCTTAACTGCTGAGCCATCTCTGTAGCCCCTAAATTTATTTTTAAAGGTCAGAACTCCTAGATGCTCCAGCCAGTGTTCTCCGAGTCCCGTGTGAGGATAGGTCTCCCACATTTTACTCCTATGCAGCCTTCTTACCTGAAGTGTCATGCACAGTTCCTTCTGGACACATTAACTCCTCTCTAAAATCTCGAATTTCAGACCTAACCCATATTCCATGGCCACGACAGTCTCAACCTGATCCAAACCATCTAAGCCCAGATCTTTAGAAGATGCTAGGTGACTGAGAGTTTACTGGGCCAGTCTTAGAGTCCCAAGACATAGAACTTGGTCCTTGATTCCCTCTAATGTCAAGGAAGTGTGACACTGTTCTGTCAGTAAAAATATGTGACCCTCAGTGGCACCTGTGCCAGTGCCAGAGACTGGCTGTGCAGACCTCTTCCTGCAGGGGCACAAAGTGGTGCTGTGTCGCTGGGCCAGGGACAACAGCAAGGCCGTGAAGACACACAGCCTCCATGGCTGGGCCTACCCAGGATGCACTTCACTTTATGTTGGAGACGAGGGCTCTCTGCTGGCCTGGAACTTGCCAGTGAGCTCCAGGCACCACCTGTCCCTGGCTCCCCAGTGCCGGGATTCTAGGCAAACTCTACCGGGCTTTTCCTGGCTGCTGGAGATCTGTACCCAGGTCCTTGTCCTTGCACAGCAGGGACTTTACCAACTGAGGCGTTACCCAGTCCCTCTCAGCAGTTTCTAGTCATTCAAGGGGCCCTGGACTCTGTCTCAACCTTGCAAAAAAAGGAAAAAAGGACAGAAAAGACCTTAGTTAACAGTTTTTGGGGTGGCTGTGTTGTTCTGCTTGCCCTTCCTCTTTTTGAATGTTTGTTTCTAACGGGTTTAGAGGTTATTTCGTGAGACCTTCGGATTTACAGTTCTATTTTTGTTCTCTGCTTTTAAAAATATGGTGAAGGTGATTTTCTTCAGCTAACTTGGACTTCATGAGCATTCCCATCAGCCACTGGCATCCGTACCTTGATTTTTGTTTACAGGGAATTCCAGTCTTGAGCCTTAATGTTGGAGAAGTTGGAAGCATAGGGAGTAAATGCCTCGAACCAGAGCTTTGACAAAAATCCCCGACAAAGGCAATTTAAGGGAGAAAGAGGTTTATTTTACCTCACAGTTCCAGGTTACAGTGCATCATTGAGGGGATGTTAAAGCAGGCTGTAAAACAGTCACGTCCCATCCATAGTCGCCAGCTGAGAAATGAGAGCACACATGCTTGCCTGTGCTCAGCCTGACTTCTCCACTCTTAGACAGTTCAGGAGCCCCCTGCCTAGGGAATGGTGCCGCCCACAGTGGGCTGGATAACTTAGTTAAGACACGCCCACAGGCCAATCCAGTGTAGACAGCCTCTCATTGAGACTCTCGTCTCAGGTGGTTCTGGGTTGTGTCATTGACAATGAAGGTGAGTCAACATGGTGGGGGAGGGGCGGTTCTACTTTGTGGTTTCATGAGCATTTTTCCCTGTGAGCTGTGAGTCCCAGGTACCTGTGTAATAAAGTGCTTGTATAATACTTACACAAACCCACACTTACTCTTATTAATATTGTAATTATTATTATTTTTGGTTTTTTTAGACACAGGGTTTCTGTAATCTTGGCTGTCCTGAAACTTGCTCTGTAGACCAGGCTGGCCTCGAACTCAGAGATCCTCCTAGCTTTAGAAAACCCACAATTATTTGGCTATTTGCTTACAGTCATCCCTGGCCACCTTTAGAAAAGACTTGTTGTTGACCCATAACTGCCTAAGGAGCTAATTTCCGAGTCCTGTAGAAAACACTAGACTCCTGTTTCCTTTGGGGGTCTGATGATGGTTCTGACTCTCTTTCAGCTACCGCCTGTGTGACCCCTCTGTGAAGAGTTTGTACCAGACGTCTCCCCTTTTTGGGATGTACTTCTCAGTGGAAAGAGTTGGAACCCTGAGAGTTGGCGACCCTGTGTATCGCATGGTGGACTAACGGGCCCAGTGGCTGACACGGTAAAAGTTTTATTCCCTCCAAGAGCTCTGTTTTGACAGCACAACCACATTTCCTTGTCTTCTGATGCTTTAAAAAATTTAAAAATATTTTGCCAGTTGGTGGTGGCACACACCTTTAATGCCAGCACCTGGGAGGCAGAGGCAGGCGGATCTCTGAGTTCAAGGCAAGCCTGGTCTACAGAGTGAGTTCCAGGACAGCCAGAGCTACACAGAGAAACCCTGTCTGGAAAAAAATGTCACTGACAACGAAAAGGGAATAAGAAATGAAGGCAAATGACCCTCTAGAGTTAGGTGTGTTATTTTTTTCTGTGTGTGTGTGTGGGGGGGGGTGATTGGAAGCCAGGGTTTTATCAGACGTCTCTTAAATTTAACTTAAAGAATCAGCGTGTCGAGATGACTAGATTATGATGCTGAGGTAGAAAATAATATTCTTACACTGATTGCATCAGGTCAGCTCGAGCCCTGAATCCTTAGTTATAGGAATGAGGAATCGTTGGCAGACTTTCCCTTGAAGGCTCTAAACAGCTCCCCTTGAAAAACCTGTTATCTAGCCTTCCAGAAGCTGTGTGTGTGTGTGTGTGTGTGTGTGTGTGTGTGGTGTGGTGTGTGTGTGTGTGTGTGTGGTGTGTGTGTGTGTGTGTGTGGTGTGGTGTGTGTGTGTGTCTGTGTGTGGTGTGTGTGTGTGATGTGTGTGTGTGTGGTGTGTGTGTGCGTGTGTGTGTGTGTGTCTGTGTGTGTGTGTATGTGTGTGTGGTGTGTGTGTGTGGTGTGTGTATGTGGTGTGTCTGTGTGTGTGTGTGTCTGTGTGTATGTGTCTGTGTGTGTGTCTGTGTGTGTGTGTCTGTGTGTGTGTGTGTGTAAGGTTTACTGATTTTTATTTATATTTGAGTGCTTTCCCTACATGCCTGTATAAACACTTTATATATGCAGTACCTGCAGAGGCCAGAAGAGGGCTTTGGCTCCCATGGAACTGGAGTTACAGATGGTTCAGAGCTGCCATGCGGGCTCCTCTTAAAGCCTTGGCCCCTATTTCCTACTCCTTAAAGTCACTCATGGCTGAAACCTCTGACTGACACTTTTCTCTCTAATTCCTCCCTGGGATTCTCACACATGGTGACCTCTCTGCAGCCATGCCACCTGCCCATGTGACTGAGCATGTCTTAGTGAGGGTTTCTATTGCTGTGAAGAGACACCATGGCCATAAAGGAGAACATATGATTGGGGCTGGCTTACAGTTTCAGACATTTGGTCCATTTTCATCATGGCATACAGGCAGACATGGTGCTGGAGAAGGAGCCGAGAAGGAGTTTGTGTTTCATACTGGGCATAGCTTGAGCACAGGAGACCTCAAAATCCACCCCCGCAGTGAGACACTTCCTCCAACAAAACCACAGCTCCAAATAGTGCTTCTGCCTGTGGGGCCGCATCCTAAAGACAAAGTGCTGTAGTGTCAGGTGTAGGTTAGGTGTAACACCAGCTACACTCGGGGTCATCCTTAGCTCTGAGTTTCTATGGACTGCAAATAGGAAATAAGGGTTGTCCTCACCAAAACATCTAATGGAGGTTATTTTGTTATTAATTCATTATATCAGGATGTAATATAAACATAAAGGTACTTAATAAATATTAGGGGTTGTATCGTGCATTCTTCCCACCAGCCTGGTCCCTGAGCTGCATCAGTCCCAAATGAACACACAGGACTCTATATTAGTTATGAAGCTGTTGGCCATTTGCTATGGTTTCTTATCAGCTAGCTCTGACTTAATTTTTAACCCATAACTGTTAATCTGAGTATTTCCACATGGTCTTCTCTTACCGGAGAAAGGGTCCTGACCTCTTACTCCTCTGGTGTCCTACATGGTGACTGACCGTGCCTGTTTTCCAGAATCCTCCTCAACCTCTAATGCCACCTATCTTGCTTCCCTATTGGCCAACAGTGCTTTATTCAACAACCAATAAGATAAACGTATACACAGAAGGACTTCCCCCATCAAGGTGTGATTTTTTTATTGCCCGTTTGGACTGTAGCTCAGCTTTAAGGGCCACTGTGGTATAAACATGAGACAGGAAGTGTGAAACATCCTTTGACTACTGTTGTGGGGTTAAAAACCCAGAGACCACGCAGCATGACCAAAGGACGTACTGAGAGTTTCTGTTAAACCAGCCTGGAGAGAAACCCTTCTCACAGGGCAGCCAGGAATGCATATTACAGGGGGTCTTCGAGACAAAGAACACAAACTACACCCTGGTTGGAGTTGCAGGGGGAAGCCAAGCAAGCAAGCAGTCTGACAGAAGCCAAGAACATGCCGTTAGCTGGGACATTTCCACCCTGCTGACTAAGCACTGAAATATATGATCCTATGGGGCCATTCTTATTCAGAGCAGTATGCAGGGTGGGTTTCTATTGCTGTGATAAACACCACGATCAAAAACAACTTAGGGAGAAAAGGGTTTATTTTGCTTGCACTTAAAAGTAACAAACAGCCCATCGCTGAGGGAAGTCAGGGCAGGAACATGGACGCAGGAACTGAGGGAGAGGCCGTGGAGGAGTACCGGCTCCATCTTCATGGCTTGCTCAGCCTCTTTGTCTCTCTCTCTTAAGTTTTGTTTCCTTATGTTTCTCTGGACAGGGTCTATCTGTATAATAGTCCTGTTGTCTTGGCACTCACTCTGTAGACCAGGATGGCCTCTAACTCTCAGAGATCCGCCTGCCTCTGCCTTGTGCGCCACCGCTGCCCGGCTCAACCCAGGACCATCACCTCAGAGGGCCCATGTCAGCCGTCAGTCAAGACAATGCACCAGACCTGCCCACAGGCCAGTCTCATGGCAGCAGCTTCTCCCAAATGAGTCTAGCCTGAGTCAAGTCGACATACACTAGCCAGCACACTGGGCACCCCAAGATCTATCTGCGTCCCTCCCTGAGGGCACAGCCCCAGTGACCCATTGAACCCTCAGGAGGTCCCACCTCACTTACACGAGCCTCTGTAGGGCACAGTCTGACCACAACCCACAGAATCGGGTAAGAAAGACCCTTCTTAGGGTCCTGGGGGGACCCCATCTTCAAAAGCAGCTGTTCGCTGTGCCGGACCTTCTTGCAGGTCGAAGTTTACATCCCCCGCATTTTAACCTCAGAAAGTGACTGCTCTGTTCAAGTGTGAATTACTTATGACCAACAGTCCAAGTAACAATAATAGAGATCCTATCGCTTATTCAGCTTCCAGGTCCTAGGAGATACTTCTGCGAGTCCTGACTGCCAGCCATGACTGTCGTCCTGGAAACGAACCTCCGATTTTCCTTCAGGGCTTTGAATGCCCTCAGTTAATTTGAGAAAGTACCAGTGGTGGTTTGGGATTGTGAGGGCATATACATTTTACATAACGATGTTTTAAAAAGACATGGAATTGTGCATACGATTATTCTGAATGGCCCCCCACTGTTACCTTTTTCTGATTACTACCTTTAATACTGCTGGGTAATGAAAGTTTAGAGTCAACTTAAAAGCTGCCAAATTAAAAAAAAGTGTATACTTTTTATAGGTATATTGTGTAAGAGAAGCAGGAAAATGAGTCATCGTGCCCTGATGTCTATGTGCTAACATGCCAACATGCTCACTCATGGCCCGTTCTTGACCTGGATGTTGAGCCCTGCTGAGTTCTGATTTATGGCTGCCTCTGCCTTACTGTTATAGAGCCAGAATTACGCTTAAATATAGAAATGATTTCATAGATCATGGGGTTATTTTGTTCATAGATGGTATCTTTATATTTCGTTGGGATTCTAATAATTCTAATAATTATCTCTAATTGTCAATTCCTCTAATTCTACAAGAAAATAGAATTTAAAAGACTAGAATCTTCAAAAGCAGGAGAAAGCAGGAGACATTTTTAATGTTTATATCTATTTTCATAACAAAGATAAGATAGCTTGCTGTAACAAGTAAAGTAACATATAAATGAGTTAACCCCCTTAAACTTGGGTGGTTTCTTTGTCATTGGTAAGAGTGAAGTCCCTCCTACTTCATCTGTGATGTCTGCTTCTGGGTGTCTTTCTCGTTTTACAGAGTTGTTGTCGGGCATCTTCCCCGGGTCCCACACACTGCCTCTTGTCATGGTGTGCACAGACACCGTGAACTGCGTGTCTGAGCCAGTGTTCTTAACTTGTGAGTTGTGACCCCTTGAGGTATCTGATATCCTGAATAGCAGATACTTACATAACAATAGCAAAACCACAGTTATGAAGTAGCAATGAAAATCATTTGATGGTTGGGCGTCACCACAACATGAGGAACTGTGTGAAAGGGTTGTAGACTCTATGACATTATGGCTGGGATCTGGGCCTGAGTTCAACCCCTCACCTCTGGCTGTGAGTTAAAAGTGGAAGGCAAGCTGCATCTTGGGTAAAACTTGGACATGACACATTTTTTTAAAGTCACACTGGGTTTAAAGTCAGCCATTAAGTTTTAAGCTATTTTCCCCTTTACATTCCCAAGGAGGAATGGAAGGACGAAAAACACACTCAGCTCTTGGTACCTCCCAGGCGCCTTTTTTTCCCAATATATTTTAAATTTAAATTAGAAACATGCTTGATTCACATGTCAACCCCTATCCTACCCTTCCTCCCTTGTCCCTGTACCAGCTCCCCAGCCCCCCTGCCCAATCCCCATACCATTCCCCAGGGAGGGGACCAGGCTCCTGGTCCCCAGTGGCACTCATCCCTGCGTGTACCAGCTCCGCTTCTCTGAGACAGAAATCCCCAAGCGTTCCACCATGGTCACTCTGCTGCGCTGGTGGGCAGAGTGCCAAGTGTGGGAACACGTGACAGAGGGGGCAGAGGGAGCATTCTTTACGTGACAAGCACAGGAATCAGACGGGCAGGATGGGTCCCGGTGCAGCACCCCGCCCCCCCCCCCAGACTAACTTCCTCCTCAGGTAGGCTCTGCCTCAGCCTCCCCGGGTAGTGTCACCAGCTGGGGACCTATGAGAGCTACAGCGTGACTTTCATGCTCGACCACAGTGAACAGCGAGGTGACCAGCTAGCTGAGCACAGTGCGCTCAGAAGTCTGGGTCTTGTGGGAGTGAGGATTGGCAATAGGTGGCTGAGCACTGAACAAGAAAAAGTATTTAGGACGTGTGACAAGAAACTGTTGCAGGACAGATACTGGGTGATAGGCGTTCTTTGTATCCCCGGTGGTAGGTTTCTCAGCTGGTGCTTGTAAGCCAAATGGAGGCGAATTAAAAAGTAAAGGACCGGGTTTAATCTGAGAAAAGCAGGCGAGAAATCGCGCGGCAGGTCTAGGGGCCAGAGCTAACCTGCAGGTGTGGTCTCGAGCTCTGGGGGAGGAGCCTGAGCTTCTGTCGGTCTTGGGGGGTGGGCAGGGTTTGGAGAGGGAGGAGCGGGGCTGAAGCAGAGTTTCTGCGCGAACACTGGAGTACCAGAGGGGCCCAAAGTGAGCAGCTGGCAGCTGAGGAAGGAGTGTCCGTCGTTGTCAAAAAGATCACGAGTGTCCCAAGTCGGAAGCAAAAGTCAGTGCACGCCTGCCGGTAGCCTGCGTTCCCCACTCCTCGCACAATGGCCTCTCGGGGAGCCTTAGGAATTCCTGCTCTGCCCCCATCGCCTGCCCTCAGCTGCCCTCCGCCGCAGCCTCAGTCTTCCAGCATCGCGTGAACGTGAGTTCGGGCACCGTCCCTTCTCCGCTCCAAGATGCTGTCCAGCAGCAGCAGGACGTTCTGGTCAGGGTGTGACCCCTTCCATCGCACTCTGAGGTCCCGGGAACCCTGTTGGACCGGCTCCACCTCTTGCTGGCACGAGGCTTCCAGCCGCTTCCTTCTCTCAGCCTGAGACTTGGGGTGGGGTGGGGATGGGGGGGGTATTTCTAGTTTCCTGGGGGTCCATTGTTCCGATAGTCTGATGGGCAGAGCTAGGGCAAACGCTCACCTCTAGAGAAATCTTCATTCCTGCCTCAGACCCTCCCCCCTGCCCCCTTGGCTGTAAAAGTCCAATCACTCTGCCCTGTCGTAGTGGAGAACAGCCTTCTCCCTGTTAGAACAAAGACTTGACATTTTAGCAACCTGACTGACAGTCAGCCGGGAGCCTGGGGCGCCTGAGGAACCTTGGTGGCCTTGGCTTTGTTGTTTAAGGTAGGCTGGCACTTGGGAATGACAAGGGACGGAGTCCACCTTGCGGGAGCCGCAGGGAAAGAGCCCGGGGTTCGGGTGAGTGCTGGTTCTGTGCCGGTAGCTCCGAGGAGGCATCAGGCGTGGAGACGCAGACTTTGCTCAGCCCTGGAGTGCCTCAGGGTCTGGTCAGATCTTTCCACCTTCAGATCGCAGCTGGCTGGGAAGCTCCTCGGTCGCCGCCAAACTTCTCGGCTCGCCCGCAGTTCCCAGAGGGGCAGCTGCCCGGCGGCCTGATTTCTAATTAAAAAAAAATCACTCATGTTTGTGCAAACGTTGTGCGTTTTAGGTCAAATAAACAACCTTATAAGCATATATAACTTCTGTGTTGATTGATTGTGGGGCGAGGTGGGGGTGGGGGGAGCCAGGGGGAGTGAATGAGGGAGGGAGGGAGGGCAGGAGGGAGGTGGGGACAACGGGTGAAAGCCACCACGTTTGAGCCGCCACCTCCCGCCCAGCCCGAATAAAGATGCTCAACTTGGATTGGCGGGCAAGGGTCAGGAGCTACAGGTCCTTGGGCTTAGGCCCGGGCCCGGCCACCAGCGACAGTCGTGCTTAGTGCACCGGACCCCTGAGGTGTACCGCCACCGGCTCCGCCCGCTCCCGCCATGGGTGCCCCCGGCTCCTGGGCTCTGGCCCTCCTCGGCTTCTCCGCGCCCCGGGTCCCCCGGCAGCTGCGGTTCACTTGGCTCGGCGTCGCCGCGCTGGGACTGGCGGTGGCGCTGGGGACTGTGGCCTGGCGTCGCGTGCGTCCCCGGCGGCGCCGGCGGCTGCAGCAGGTGGGGACGGTGGCGCAGCTCTGGATCTACCCGGTCAAGTCCTGCAAGGGGGTGTCGGTGAGCGAGGCGGAGTGCACCGCCATGGGGCTGCGCTGCGGCCCCCCTGCGCGACAGGTACGCCGAGTCCCGCGCTGCAGACCTAGGCTGTGTGGGTGCGGGGAGGTCGGGGGCCCCTTCCTTCCCAGACAAGAGAGCGGGACCTGGGGATGGGGCGCTGGGAAACGCAAAGAGTGACCCTCAGCCTCCACCAGCCAGTTCCAGGGGCCTGGAACTCTGTGGCCTCCATGTTTCTCACTTCCGGGAGGAAAAAAAAATGTGGTCCCCATGAGACAAGCCCCACGCCAGCCAATCCGCCAGCAGAAAGCTCAAACTGCCCCCCTCCACCCACCCACCCACCCCTGCCTACAGGGCCGGAAGGGATTGACCCTTGACCACTTTACTTTTAGTATTAGTCTTAAACACTGGAGAAAACAAGACAGTCGATCCCAGAGCTCATCGCTTCTGCAGCGGTTGAGCACTTTCCTTGCAGTTAAAGCAGAAATCAGCAATTGTTATTTCCCGCAAACTCTTGTCAGGTAAAGAAAGGCTCCGCGCGGGGCTGAACCTGAGATTTGTGAGCTGTCTTTAGCCACGGGGATTTTGTAAACAGCGATTATAAATCAGGCTGAGGAGTGACCCGTGTGGACTCCCACGCTTCCGGAAGGACACCTCTGCCTCTCTGAGTCTGGCTTCCCACCAGCTCTGGGCATCGCTGGAAGGCGGCCTTTTAGGATCCTCAGAGCCTCACTTCCCCAAAGGTGCTGTAACCCCGGGCTCTCAGCTCTGCAGAGCTAACACCGACGGTTAGCCAGTCCAGTGGACACGCTGAAAGATTGACTCAGGGAGAGGACATGGAGATTCTTGCCCCATAGCTGATTTAGGAGAGGCTTTTACAAAAGGCAGGTCGGTGGGTGGCTGTGGACCGGTGGGCTCCTTCTCGTGGTGTGACCCATATCACGTGGTGATTTGCTGCTCTCCATGTCTCTGGAACAAAGATCATTAAGAGGCTGGAGCTGGCTGCCCCCAAGGTCTTCTGGCTGATTGCCAGACTCCCTGCCCCCCCCGCTCCCCTTGTCCCCTTTATGCCCCCCTGAAAAAACTCTAACCTCTCTCTCCTTTCACCCAGACAGGGAGGGCAGTTCCCGACAAAGTTTAAAGATTAGCTGCACACCTCTGCTTCAGGCAGTCAAGAACCCTAACTATTCCCTGTTTTGTAGAGTGGGGTCTCACATGCAGTAGCTTATTGGCTTTAGTTTCTCCCAACCTCAGGGGCAAAGGGCATTGACATTTTATTACCATATTGACTCAGAAAACATGTTTGCAACTTGCATCACAGCTGTGGTGGCAAACTTTACTTTTGTCACAAGCTCCCAGGGAATTTAAGCAAAAAAAAAAAAGCAATAACAACAAAAATGCAACCAACCAGACAAACAAAAAATGAGCAACTGCTCTCCTGGGGTACTGTGACAAGTGTCAGGAAACAGAGAGGAAGGGTCGTAGAGTCTGTCTGGGGGCCACTCAGGGAGAATTTAGCAAAATTCAATAGTTTACACTAAAGTCTAGAAAGTGGTTAGACCCTTTCCAGGCAAGTGAGTTGGTACAACATTCTAGAGAGCTGGGCATAAACACCAGGCTCAAAGCTGGGCACACTCTGATGTGTTAGCAGTGGAAAGCAAGGGCTTGATTATAAAGAATGCGTTTCGCAGCACTGAAACTTGACTATGCACAGTGGCAAGTAAAAGTGGAAATGGCCCAAATGTCCATCAATGGATGAGAAGATTAATTAAAATGTGGTTTTTATAGATGGCGGAATATCCCCCAGTCTTGGAAAGAAGTTCTAGGGCATGCCATTGAGCAGGGCAGAGGGACTGACTAGCTATGCGTGATTTCAGTTCCAATTTCGTGGCTCCAAATTCATAGTCAGAAAGTGGAGTGGAGCCTCTGGGACTGGAGGAGGCAGGTGAGGCGAGTTATTGCCTAATGGGTGCAGAGTCTGCAAAGATGAAAGGTTGGGGAGCCAGTGGTGAAGGTTGCACAACCCTGGATGCATTCACTGCCACAATGCCACACTTCACATGGGCGATGTCACTTGTGGTTTGGGGCTGCGCTGGGTCTGGTCCAGGTTCTTGGCTGAATCCAGGTCCCACATAGACTTGCCAGAGAAGCTGGTAACATTATTTGAAGTAAGCCAACTGTACAGCGTCTAGAGGAATATGCTATCAAGAATGACAGAAGCCAGTTGGAAGACGATGGCGCACGCCTTTAATCCCAGCACTTGGGAGGCAGAGGCAAGTGGATCTCTAGTTTCAGGACAGCCAAGGCTACACAAAGAAGCCCTGTTATCTTAGTCGGGGTTTCTGTTGCTGTGAAGGGACACTGTGACCATGGCAACTCTGACAAAGGAAAGCATTTAATGTAATGGTTCTTGGTTCAGAAGTCTAGTCCATAATTGTCATAGTGTGGCGCATGGCAGCTGGGAGTAAGGTAGCGTGCAGGCAGGCATGGTCCTGGGGAGGGAACTGAGAGTTCTTACAGTCTGACTCACAGGGAACAGGAAGTGATCTGAGATACTGGGTGTGTCTTGAGCATAGGTGAGATCTCAAAGCCCTCCTCCACAGTGACACACTTCCTTCATTAAGACCACTCCAACTCCAACAAGGCCACGCCTCCTGATAGTGCCGCTTCCTTTGGGGGTCATTGTCTTTCATTTCACCACACCAGGTCATCTTATGCTCTTTGCTGGTACACAAATATAAATGCCCACAAACACCCCCCCAAAAAAGCCACACAAATACTCAAGGACCCTGATTGTTATTCCAGACTGGGGATCAAGAGAAGGAGGACCTGGTTACTAAGGGACATGATGGCTCTCTACCTTGATTGATGATATGATAGGCCATATATTCCCTTTTACTGCTGCACATGTCCCTTCCCATAATACATTTAGTTTCAATCCCATGAGTGCCCAGTTATTCACAGGTAAAATGGTGTCCTGGTTAGGTTTCTGTCAACTTGACACCAGTTAAGAGATATCTAGGAAAAGCAGCCTCAGTTGAGAACATGCCTTCATCAGACCGGCCTATAGGCAAGTCTCTGGGGGGTATTTTCTTGATTACTAATTGATGGGGAATGGGCCAGCCCACTGCAGATAATACCACCCCTGGCCTGGTGGTCCTGGTTGGTTTCAAAAAGGCAGGAAGAGCAAACCATGGGGAGCAAACCGGTAAGTAGCTCTGTTCCATGGCCACTGTTTCCGTTTCTGCCCTGAGTCTTCACCTCCCTGGCAGCGGAGAGGGGAGCGCTGTTCTTTCTCTGAAAACAGTTACTGCTTCTGTGTCTCCAGTTACCACTTTGTTAGGGAGTAAGTATCTCCATGTCTGGGGAATAGTGAGCTAGAAAAGTACGGTAAAGATGGACACTAGACCTTCTTAGCGAATTGCGGGATCCATGCTCCCCGCTGGCCTTTGCACCCACTGCACGCATGCGGTACACATACATAAATGCCCACAGACACCCATATGCACCCACTGCACGCATGCGGTACACATACATAAATGCCCACAGACACCCATATGCACCCACTGCACGCATGCGGTACACATACATACATACCCACAGACACCCATATGCATGCGATTTAAAAACAAAAGAAATTAGTGTGTGCACTTGGCATCACCTGTTGTTCAGCAGAACTCTATAGCTGCAAACTCCCCGAGGAACAGCCTCGTCTTTCTGTCCCCAAGAGTCCACTGCTTCCAGCGAGTCTCTGGCCTTCTGTGAAGCGGATTCTTACCATCTTCTTGGGACATGTATTCTCCCCTTTAAAATTAACAGACGGTGGCAGTCCTTGTTTGCTGCCTAGGCAATGCTCAGAACAGACAGACGTGCACACTCTCACACACAATCCTCCACACCCTCCAGGCATCTTACAGGGAGGAAATATGAGGTGGGTAACTGCGACTCTGGTAATGGCTGAAGCTGTCTGTGCTGGTTTCGTTTTGGCAATGTCAGGTTTTGGCTTGTGATCAATGAAGATGGGAACATGGTCACTGCCCGGCAAGAACCTCGCATGGTCCTGGTTTCCCTGACCTATGACAATGACACCTTGACTCTCAGTGCTGCCTACACAAAGGACCTGCTGCTGCCTGTCACCCCGCCCACCACAAACCCACTAGTCCAGTGCAGGTGAGTGGAACAGGACTCTGGCCTGTGGGACCACACACATACACGCAACTCTTCTTTCGCCTTTAATAGTTTAAATTCACAGTTGGCTTACAAAATAATAGATGGGTTTCGTTATGACATTTTTACACACACAGTATTTTGCTCATAATAGCTCCCTGTTCCCTTGTCCTGTACCCCTCCATTGGTATTTTCTTCCCCCCAAAATGATTGTCTCAATATTTCGTATCACGTATGTATATATAGAGCTGGGGATGCAGCTCAGTCGTAGCGTATTTGCCTGCCACATACCCTGGGTTTACACAATGCTACAAA